TTTTGGTCTCTTGGGCTCCCAGGGACGTGCAGAGAGCGGAGCATTGCTTGGCTCAGGGTGGAACTTGGTGTTGTGCCTCCAGAGGGTCAACTCTCCCCCTCTTTTCCTGTTTTCCTCGTGCCTCAGCTACCTCTGGCACACACATTCCAAATAACTCTCCCAAGACGTGAAGTGGTACACCACGGCCACACCAGGATGAGAGCTGGCAGTGCTGGAGCTCAGTTCTCCCCAGCAGTCCTGCTCTCAGCTCCCTGGCTGACATTGCCTTCCCATGCAGGCACGTTTTTCCCTGCCACTGTCCGCCTATCTCAGCTCTTTGGCTCCTGAGATATCATTTTACCTGTACTTTTCCATCCCAGGTGAGGACAAACATGGTGTGATGCAGAGCTAAGAACAAGATGCCAAGAGTTTCAAACGTGCCACCTAGTGGTATGAGCTTGGAGCACTCAAAATAGAGGAAATCCCCCCGAAAATCCACCCTCCTCCAAATACTCGTTATTTCTGAAGTGCTCCTGTGTTTTTGGGCAGAAAATGAGTGTTTACGGCCTCTGCTACCCCGTTGGGTTTTCTGAGTGTTGGGGAACTGAGCTGTTCAAGGATTTCTTAATCAGAAGGAGGGGAACAGGGAGTTTTTTAGTCTGTTATTTAAAGTATATGCTGAGAAGTCTGTAGCTTCATACCAAGAAAACAGAGTTCATGCTGTTACTGCCTCCCGTTGCAGGAGCTGAATCAACTTTGCAAACAAAGTAAATCTTAATTTAAAACACCCTTTATTTGGGGAGGAGGGGAGAGGGAGGTAACAATAATGTGCTTGTCTGTAGCCGTGCAGCAATTCATCAGCAGCGCCCTGTCATGAGATGCCCTGTGTTTGTGGATCTGTACTGGGGCATATTCCACCCCAGCAAATAACCTGAAGTACTTCCAGCTTCCTCCCCGCTAAAGAACAGAGCGCTACAATTGCAAAAGGCTCCAAAAAAAAAAATCTTTCTAAAAACCTACATTCATCACCAAGATAAGAATAGGCCTAACAATGAGGAGTGTTAAAAGGCATGAGGTTTGTACCACAGTTTGGCATGTTGCATGCCGTGAATTACAGCCTGAATTAAATCTGTCTTGGGTGTTTGTCTTTGCTGTTATCTTCAGTGTAGGCTCTGGCACGGAATTAAAGTTGCTCAGGTTGATGTTTATGTGTGCTTGCTGTTCCTGGGATTTTTACCTAGAGGTCATCGTGTCCTTTTTCTCTCATTACCAAGAAACTTGTTTGCTGTTTGCATTGGGTTATGTAATCCATCTGTTGTAGCTACCAGAGTAAGTCAGGAGAGCAGTTCCATCCCTCCTTGTGTGCCCCTCACGTCATCCTTTCCGTGCCCGGGTCAGAATTCAGCCATTCCTCTTTGCTTCTACAGCTCCAGAATTCATTTGGGAATGCAGCTTGTGTGAGGGCCCATGAGATGAAATAAAAGAGATTGCCAACTCTAGGATGAGAAACTTAAAATAATATGGCATATAGGTGCCTGTAGAATGAACAAGAAGAGTTAAACATCTAAGAACCGCCAGTGAGCAAAGTAGGAAGAAAAGAAGCGTGGCAGTATTAAATGCTGTCCTAACTTGGGAGTCTGCTTACACAGCTTGGATAAGGCAGAGAAAGAGGATTAAGAAAAGAAATTGAAACCCAGACTTCCAAATGCCCAGAGAGGACCTTTTCTTGCCGGGTAAGGGTGAAGCTGCTCTCTTGCATATTGTCTCATTCTGAATCTCTGATGTGTTTCGTGAGCAGCGGAGTGTTTCAGAAGTGGGGGTGAGGGGGCACCACTCAGCTTCTGGTAAATGTGTAGTATCAGAATTACAGCCCAGTGCCAGGCTGTGGGGATAGGAGGAGAAAAGAGAATATCTAAGTCTCCTGCCTCCCAGGTAAGAGACTTCACAAAGGGAAGATGCAGAAGGATAAGTAGCATCTCTTTCCCAAAGAAGACTGTGGCCTAGTGCTTTATGCTGGATTGTGGAGCCCTCTGAAAGGCTGGGCAGAGGTATCTACAAGGTTGATCCTATAATAATTTAATCTTAAGCAAGAGGAGGTTTAGTTTGCATCTGGTTTAGTCCTTGAGGTGCCTCTGTGTGGTTAGCACAAAATGGGACACGGCCAAGGGGAAAAAGTCCTGGTGTCATTGATGAAGAGCTGTGCAAAGTGCAGGTACTAATCTAGTGGAGACTGATCTTTTTATTTGGATGCAGACACCTAAATAACACTGAAGTGAGTGGTTTTGTCTCACTGGCTGTGTCTGTACTGGCTGTACCACTCAGGGAGCCACACTGTCCTTCCAGCCCATGTCAGGCATGGATGTGTTCAGGCCAGGCAGGTTCCCTGCACCAACACAGCATGAAGACCACCATGAGATGTTAATTATAATATTCCATTTTTGTTTAATGGGGTTTTTTTGTAGGTTGGTTGGGGTAATTTTTTGTGGTGGTTTTCATTTTAAAGTTCCTGATGCTGCAGTTACCAATTTATTGGTTTTATTCTGAGTACAAGAGCTTGAGTTTTAGGACCTGGTCACATACCCAGCTGTTGATCCTAAGGGCTGAATTTGAGTTTGGTGTGACTTGACTCTCTGGTGGTCCTGGAAAGTGCAGATCTTGCTGGAGCAGTGCCAGGAGCCTGCGTGGGGACATGGGAACCAAACCTGGAATGCTCTTACCTGTGCTGTAGGATCCTCACTCGTTCTGGAGCGATCCATCCCTGCAAAAATGCTGGGCTGTGCTCCTTCCTAACAGTGACCACGGGGAATAATCAGAAAGCTGTGTTATTTATTAGACAGAGTGGACATACCTGGCAGGAAATATTTGTTTGTACTAGTGGGAAGCAGCATTTGACTTTATGACGGCAATGCAGCTCTTTTATTAGTAAAACTTAATGGGTAACAGGATAATTCCGTTGCACCTACTACTATCCTGGCGTGGTTTTGTACAAAATAAGTTTCTTGTTTCCTTGAAGGCCTTACATAAGCCCTAAAACTGGGAATGGATCCAGCGTGTTCGATCACAATAAAGGAACTGCTTCAGAGCAGGCTCTTCTTTGGAAATAGCCGTAAACAGGTTTATATATAGGCACTGCTGTTATACACAAAACTTGCTGAAGAAATGTTTCCCAAGATCTCGTGGTTTTTACTGTATGCCACGGGGACTCTGCTCAGGCTAATCCGTGAGCAGACCTGTTGTAGGGAATTCAAGGCAAGGTTTAAAACCCAAGAACGTCTCTCAAATCCCTGTGTGCTGGAAGGACCGGGTGTTGAATGGCTCTTTGCTGTTAAAAAAAAAAAAAAAAAAAAAAAAAAAAAAAAGAAGGCATTTGATAAAAAGGCTCGGAAACTTGGGCTGGCATCCTACGTATGCAAATGCGGGTGCTGTCCATGTTATATTTGGATTTCAGGGTTTTTCAGATCCATTTCGAGGCGATGGGTAGCAGCCTTATGTGGTTTGATCGCTCGCTTTCATCACCCATGCCCAATTATTATACATGAGATCCATCAGCCCCCTCGCAGCAACAGTTCCTGCAGCTGAGCATCAGCGCGGTTGGGAACAATAAAGGGCTGGTATTTGGGAGTTGCTTTTCCCTTCTAGCTGGGCAGGACCCAAAATTACTCCCTTGCAGAGCTCACCAGTCAGGTTTGTGACTTGAACAGGTACATTTCCGTCTGAGCAGCCTGAGGATGTGGGATCTGGGGAGATTTGTTGCGGATTTGCATTCAGCATCGTTGGTTGTGTGCTCCTGTGGAGTTTCGGATAGGTGCAGGACAGAACATGGAAAGACTCCTGCCTTTGTGTGATTGATTTTTGAGGATAATTTGCCATTTTGTTCCTTGCCTCCTTCCTAACGAGCTGAATTGTTAAAATATGTTAATGTAAGGAGACACACGAGAAAGGGTGAAGCAATCTACTGACACGTTGGATAATTAGATCATCTCCTGCGCAGGAAAAAAAGTCAAGTACGAAACAGGAACAAGAAGCGCCTCCCTCCCCCCCCTGTAGAGGCACCAGGTCTGGCTCTTTCTGCATGCAGAAGCAGGTTAGACAATTAGATCTTTGGTATTAATTAATTTTTCTGAAATTCCTGAAGATGCAGAGCGTCGTATATTGTAACTGTCTTGTATTTGTCGGTTATTTTTTGGGAGAAGTTGGGAGCCTTGTTTTCGCAGGGCTGAATTCGTGAGCTGCGTAATCTGTGATGAAACAAAAAAAATGTCTGTTAGTGGACTGAGTTTGTGAATGCTGTAGTGGTTAATCAGGTCTTCCCAGGAAAACAGTTGTGAGTTTTTGTCCTGAATAGGCATTAGCTCAAGGGAATTCTGTAAAGAGGCGCGGGACATTGTGGGCTGCTTTTCTGCTAGGGTTTGGTGCTTTGGCAAAGCAGTGCTTCGTTTTTCTTACAAGATTTATTTGTTTGAAATAATAATTGGCTAATAATCACTAAGATCTCAGCCCGGTGTGAAGAAATGCCTGCAGGGTGGCTGTGACAGTACTCCGCCTTTGCTCACGGGAGTAAGCCCTCTTTGTGGGTTAAGTTTACTTGTTTGATAAACATAACACTTTGCTTTTGTTCTCTTAATCACTTCCTTCGAAGAGTTAACTTCCTAAGCAGCCACAGATTAGTTCTCTCAGTTGTTTTAATTATTTTTCTTGTCACGCACAGTGAAGGTCTCGTGTTTGTGAAATGTCTTCTTTTATTTTTGTCCCCCCCTTCCATGGCAGCCTCGGTGACGCTGGCACCGAGAACCCAGCTGAAACACACTCCCCCTGCGCTCCTGGCATTTATTTTTTACCCTTATTTTAAACCAAATCTCACTTTTTTTTTTTGAATGGGAGCGCTGCAGAACGTAACACTTTCCTCTCAGGGTGACCCAAGTGCTCCAGAATGTTGTATTCCCGTAAGGGGTACGCGAGAGGCTGGAGCGGAGGCTTCCACGTGCTTGCTGCTGAGTAATTTCCTTTTGTATTGCTGACAGGTGACTCAAGGCAGGAGGGAGCAGATGGCAGCGTCGTTAGCTGGTGGCCACAGCCTTCCCAGATGAGTTTTGGAATTTCCATCAAAGTCGGGATTAGGCTCAGGATATGCCGGTGGCACAGAGCACGCCGGGGGAGCGTGGAAGAAGAGGAAATCATTCATAGCGACTCATCTCGTGGTTGGGTGAGTCAGGGGTCTGCTGTTGGTGGTCAGAAAGGCACGTGGCTGACGACACCGTCTTTGTGTGCTCTGCAGGATGCAAACTGTCTCCAAAAATTAATTCTCCCTGCTTGATTTGTCCAGTAAGTTATTTCCAGAAAGTAGTTACTGTATTTTCTGGAATGACTATTGTGAAATTCTTTCTCTCTCCTTTTTTTTTTTTTTTTTTTTTTTTAAATACAGTGGGCAAGTGTTCAGCTGGTGATTTATCAACAAAGTATTTTACAGGATCATAGTTAAAAAGCTCATCTTAAAAAAAAAAAAAGGAAAATCATACCCTGTGCAATAGGGAAAGTAAAAGCATCTCAGTTTCCAAGTGATGAAGGAATAACCGAAAGAGCTAGTTCTTGGAATAGTAGCTCCATTGGCACTGGTTGGTGATTTCCTGTGCATTTGCTGCAAGAATCGCTCTGTGATGTGAGTAGGTGGTACTAAAGGGTTATTACGAAACCAGTTTCCAACCAGACGTTTTGAGTCATGGATGGGGAACAGGGATAGCAGCTTCGGAGCTCTCTCTTTGTTCGAGCAGTGCTCCTGAAACGCACACGCAGGGATAATCTTGTGCTTGCACGGGAGCAAGGCAGACCAGGGATGGGGTCTGGGATCACGTGAAGCGCGCTCCTTCGTGCCTCTCCATCCCGGGGATGGGAGGTGGGAAACGTGGGCTGCGAGCCGGCAGCAGCGTGCAAGGTGCACGCGGAGCAGTTTCCCCCCCGACTGTCTTTCAATTTGTAAGTATTTTCTCATGGCTTTTCCCAGACGTGGGAGACAAAATGGAGTTGCGTCAGGACGGATGCCTGTGCCAGAATGAGGTGGTGGTTTGGAGTGCCTTGGTTCTGTTCTGGAAGCAGATGGGGGCTGCCACTGGCAGGAGGCAGTTGGCTTCTCCATCAGGAAAAAAAAAAAAAAAAAAAGGGGGTGTTTAAGGGAATTGGTCTGGCTCCTAAACCGAAGGAATTGTTGACCCACTGACTCAGTTCTGAAGCATTAGGGAAGCAGTCTTCCTGTGGTTTCTTTTGTTGGTGGCAGATTCAGAGCCCGGCTGTGAGCTTTCGGGTGTGAGGAGCAGAGGAGGGACAGTTCTGGTACCTGCTGCTGTGGGATTATTTGGTGCCAGGGAGGAGTGGAGGTGCTGACGGCTGAGCAACACCTGAACTTTATTTCTGACGCTTCTCCTGGTAATGCCTTGGTAAGTTTATGTGCTTATTTCCAGTGCTTAGATGGTATCTTGCTAAATGTGATGGAGGGAAAGCTCTTCAGCAGCTCTTGGAAGAGGTGTGTTCATTTTTTTTCACTGGAGCAGCTTTTACAGAAAGCAGTGGCTGCCCAACCACAGTTGAGGAGTCTGTAAATAAGGGGGAAACTTTCTGCATCAAAGCGACAGAAACAATCAGAAACTGCTGTTTCCTCCCACCTTTAACCTACAGACCTCTGCTGACATTGATACTGAGCAAAGGGGACGGGCCGGTGCATCACCCTGGACTCACAGCTGAGCTGTAATTTCCCTTTTACACTGAACCAACAAGGCTTCAGTCTTCTTGAATTTCACAGGAAAATCAGATGTTCATCCCTGGAATTAAATCTAATGATACTTTTCCTAAGATAATGCCTAGAATAGAAACGATGTTATTTTTAAGTGGCTCTGCAAATGCCAAGAAAAAAAAGATATCAATTAGTGGTTTCTCAGAGAAACCCCTAAGCCTTTAACATCCTATTGGCTGGAAGGAATCATGTTGGCTGACAGAGCTGGGTCTGGAAGTCTTGGTCCCTGAATCTGCTGTCGATTCTGTCACTGGAGTTGGGAGGAATTTTTTGGAGGGGGAGCTTCTTGGGCAAGTCATTATTTATTTTTAGTTGTCAATGGAATGAGGGGAGTGATATTTTAACTTCCCTTCCGAGCTTTACCAGCACTATTACTGTGTTTTCCCTTTAGAGGAGAGGCTGACAGGGGATATTGTAGCTCTTGGGTTTCCAGAACATTGTTTGGAATGCACAGATTATTAGAATATGGGGAAAGCGGAATAGTGATTGTTGAATTTATTGTGCTCTGTGCATGGGTTCTCCAAACACCAGCGGTAGGAATTGCTGGTGCTGTGTCCTGAGCATCCTCCATGAAGGGAAGAATCCACTGCTGCTGTTGCTCCCTGGGTGGGTGACACCGGGGTGTCTTCCCTTCCCAAACTCATTTCGGGTGCCAGCTGTAGTGGGGCACCCATGGATATTTTTTCCCCTGTTTTCCAAAACAGGAGCAGAGGAGGCCGTTCACCACACACCCCTGTGCAATGGCAAATAAACCCAATGGTTTAATTAAAAAAAAAAAAAAAAAAAAAAAAAAGGAAGGTTTAGCATTGTACTGGGTTTCCTTTCCTTTCCTTAAGTGCTTCCTTTGGATCTTGGGAGAAGAGCTCAGGAGCAGGGAGCAGTTGTACCAAAAGGCGTGGGAGGCCGGGTCAGGGAAGAGTCACTTGGTTGTTATGTGGGTGTGAAAAGCCTCTGAAAAGGAAAGGGTGGAGGAAAATACTTTACTTGAATTAAACAAATAGAGGAGAACGTTATATGAATTGCATATTCAGAGATAGATTTTTGCCAAGTATTTTTGTGAATTAACTGCATATCTCCTGAAAATCATTTATTTAACCGTAACCTTATCAGAATGTTCTCAGGAGGGAATTTTTTTTTCTTTAAGCCAAAAAAAAAAAAAAAATTCATTGTTTTCTTATCACTTCAGATGAAAAGAAAGGAAGTTGCAAATTTTTATTGCCTCTAAATTGTTAACTGTTAAACCTGTATTGGAGCAGTGGATCAGATTTCCTCAGGCTCACAGTGGAGCAGTTTCATTTGCTGAGAAATCCCAAGCAGGCCCTGTTGGAGGAGAAGGAGTCTTAGATCTTCACCTCCTTGTTGTGTATCCACCTGTGGGACAGGAAAACTGCTGCTCTTGAAAATCACCTATTTTGGGGAACAGACTGTTGCCAGTGATGCAATGCACAGGAGTGGTTGCGCCCAAAATAATTGAAAAAATCATAGTTTGAAACCTGATTTTGTTTTTTTGCGTAGAATCGTAGAATATGGAAAAGTACGCAGTGTCTCCATTTATTTGTTTTTAAAATAGCACCTACTGTTATTGAACTAGACTAAATTATATGTTGTGAAGGTGACATTTTCCCATGGCTTTTGTTCTTATCTTGAGCCAAAAAAAAAAAGAGGCAGCACGTGGAGGCAGTTTAAACATGGTTTTGTTGCAGAAGCAGAGTATTGCTTATTACATCAGTTAGTGAAAGTCTTGATTTTTTTTTAAATGAAGCAAACGAACAAAAAACAATAACAAAAGGTCTTTATTATAAATAGCAGCTTTTGAAACACAAGCCACAAATTTCACGTGAGGAAAAACTTAACACAGTCCAAAATTGGATGCACAGGTTTGTTGTGTGATGTCTCCTACTAAACCAACCCAGTGCTTGACGTTTTGGGTCTGAGCAGTGTTTTGATAGCGCTGATTTGTACTGATATCCGAGGGATTCCCTGGTGGAAGTTCACAGGCAGTTGTTTGTTTTGTAAATCTTTTCAGGTTTATTTTTTTATGGCCCCTAGCTATCCGAGCGCGGAGCTTGCAGCCGAAGTTTGCGTGGGAAACGGTGAGCTCAGAATTGGACCTGGAAGAAAAGGAGCGGAGTGGTAATCAGGGAATCCCAGTGTGGTTTGGGCTGGAAGGGACCTTAAAGCCCATCCAGTTCCAACGCCTTGCCATGGGCAGGGACATCTTCCACCAGAGCAGGTTGCTCAGAGCTCCATCCAACCTTGAGCTCTTGCAGGGATAGGGCATCCAGAACAGGATATATGTCTGCTGCCAAACTGGGACACCTCTAGGCAGTGCTGCCCATTCCATACTGGGACTTCAAGGATTCCCTGATGCAGTAAAGGGACATCAGCAGGCAGTTTTCACTTCTAACCAAGTTTGGGCACCTGAGTTGTGTCTTTAAGAACCCAGGCGGCTGCAGAAATTCCCCGTATGACCTGTTATTACAGGCTCAGGTGAGAGTGTATGTGCAGCTCTATTGCCAAAATATGAGGTTGGCAGAAGTGAGTCATAAACTGGGAAGATCTCAGCTTTGCTCTTTGATTTGCTTTTATCCACCAAATACGAAAATACTTCCAAGAATACGGGTAGGAATATGCTGCTCTCCTGTTAGGGCAGAGCTCTCACTGGCTCTTAGGTGTGTTTGCATAACTCATAGGATGTATTTTTGAAGATTTGGTATAAAAGGAGCTGTGTATACATTTGATCTCATCATCTTCAGTGCAGTAGGCACGAGCAGTTCCTGGAGAAGGGACCAGAATATAGGGCTCTACCCCATCTCCTGGGAGTCTCTTTCCCATGGAGTCATACTTGCCCTCCAGGGCTTTCTCATTATGGCTTTGTGAGTTTTGAATTCCTCTGTGAGCTGGCCCAGCTCCAGGGGGAGGGCAGAAAGCAGCCTCAGCCCATGCTCTGCTTCAGGTCTCCTGGTTCAAGGACTTTGTAGGAGGTGGGATCTGCAGGAGGAAAAGTGCCCAGCCCTGGGAAAAATGCCCAGCTTCCCAGGTGAGCTCTTACCCACTGGGTTACCGTTTAAAGGTGACAGTATTGTCTTTTGTGGACATGGTTTTAGGTTGCAGTGGTTGTTGGATGTCATTTTACCGTTGATATTTTAGTGTGAGCAGAGTGTACCTGCTCTGCAGGTTTCACATGTGGTTTCAGGGTCATCATCTTCCTTGGTCACCGCTGATAAACCACGTGGCCTTGGAGTGAGTCAGCTCAGTTTTGCTGATCTGGTTTGCAAAAGGAGATTTTTTTTCTTTTCTGTTTCTTTTCTTTTGAGAGGTGAGAACTGCTCCATCTCATGGCTTGGCTGCTAGTGCTGATGGGGAGGTAGCAGGAACTCATGGCCAGAAGCGAGGGAGGAGGTGAGACTGTCACTTGCAGT